ATTTTATGATACCACTGTAGGTATATTGAACCTATATAAGACCATTTTCTCCTATTCATTTTTTTCATCCTCATAACTGAAATCGTAGAAAAATACGACACTGAAAAAAATGGCTGCCATTACTTTTCAGGTTGACCTGAAGCAATTCAAGTCTATGGCACCTTGCGTCTTTTATGGTGTTTTAGCAACAGACGGGTTCAATCGGATGGGAAGATTTTTATCGTCTTATAAGTTCACTTCGACATCCTATAATATATAGAAATTTTTGGATTTCATGGGTTATAGTATTTAAGTTTTTCTATATCAGTTATTAGGATTTTAATTACTCTATTTATTTGTTCCATCAAGTAATATAAAGTCTCTTTATAAATTGACCAAAAAGGATATACATTATTCTTAGTATGGTACCGATGTTACTATGACAATTAAATTAAGGAGATGTACCTTAAAAGATTAATGTTTCCTATATATTTGAATCACATCCGTACAGCCGTATGGATATTCAAAACTTAAGCAATCTTTTTTGTTGAATCGGATTTAAAATCTTATGATCACACATTATTTTCTCTATTTTTCTTTCACAACTTTATTATTTGTTTGCCTAAATATAGAGTAGCCCATATTTAAGAAAACAAATATTAAATACGATATTGAAAAAAATATGTCATTTATGTCTATGTGGAAGATTAAGTTTGAAGAACATTCATTTGTGGAAGTAGTATTCTACTACTGGAGGCCTAACAATTGGGATGGTTCTCATCGCTTCAAACGTGAGTGATCCATATTCTGGTTTATAAAATTGTGCATCTTTTGATTACAATATATTTTAATTCTGACTCTTTTTTTTAAATATGTAGGGTGTTAAGATTAACGTTTCTGTTAAAAAGGAGCTGGTGAATTTGAATTGTTTGTCAAACTCTAATTCTATTTTGTTTCTCAAGAGAAGTATTAATTAAATTATGACTTTAAAATCTAATAATTTCTTCTTAGTATACACGATTACATTAATACAAAATATTAGGAGAAAGTTTATGGCACCTTGCGCCTCTCCGAGAGTAGAAGAAGAAGTTTTTATGACGGCTTAGAAATAGACAGATCCATCGGAAGCCTTTTATCATCTTATAAATTCACTTCGACATCCTATAATATATAAAAAAAATTGGATTTCATGGTTTTTGGTACTTAAGTTTTTCTATTTCAGTTATTATAATTTTAATTACTGTATTGATTTGTTCCATCAAATATTATAAAGGATCTCTTTATAAATTGACCCAAAAAGATATACCTTATTCTTAGTATGGTACCAAAAATTACTGACGATTAAATTAAGGAGAAGTGCCTTAAAAGTTAATATTTCTTATATTTTTGGAATCGCATCCGTATAGCCGTGTAAATATCCAAAACTTGCAATTTTTTTTTGTTGCGTCGGATTTAAAATCTTATGATCACACATTATCTTTATTTTACTACTTTATTATTGGTTTGCTTAAATATAGAGTAGCTCATCTTTCTTAACATTCTACATGTGTTGATTCATCTATAATATTTGTATATTTTATATGGTAATAAAAATAATTAGTGTACTTTAAATCGAATAAACTATATAGTTGAAGTATGTATAAAATAAAAAAATTAGAACATTATAAACCGATCAAAAATATTACAGATTTATGTAATATGGATACTAATTTGTATTAACCTAAAAACTAAAAAATCCGAACAAAAAAAAAACCTGAATCGCACATAACTACAGATTATATAATCCAACATAAATCCCTTTTCAACTCATTAGACAAATAACCAGATCAAATATCTCATTCCGCTCAAAGTGTGCCTCCTACCTAGTCTAGTATTATAAACAAAGAGCCATGGAGATGTATTCTTAATCTAATAAAATTTATAATTTTTAAATGTTATCCTAATTCAATTTACTTTTTCCATGAAAAATAAAATATTTAACTAATTTTCTTACCAAATTAGGAATTTGGCTAAAATTTAATAGGTAAGGAAATCATAATAATTATAAAATTAAATTTAAAAAAATAGAAAAAAAATTATAAGAGGCAGCACTAATAAAATTAGAATAAATTAAAAAAATACAATAAATGTTAGTTTTTTCTAGAGCTAATTAGCTGAATAACCATAGGCAAAAGTTTTATTAGTTACATGGATGTGGTACTGTTAAAAATTCAATATCCCAAAACTAACCCTAATCTTACATATGTAGATAGATCTGCCACTTTCTTAGATATAGCTAGTAGGCATATGTGTACAATAATTACCCTATAAACTCTACTTGACGCTATATTAACATTTCTGAAACTGCAAAAACTTTATCTTTATCAATTATTATTCCCAACTTTTCATCTCTCCTCCCAAATCTCCTTCACTTATCTCCGATGAAATCTTTTGATTTTCTTTCTGAAACTACAGTAACAACAATCCATAACTGAAACGTACTGGGCTGTCCACCAATTTCGACTGTGAACCACTGCTCGGAGGAGACGGTGCCCTATTGACTCCTCCACTCTCTTCTCTTCTCCTCGCTCAACTGTCTAAATCAGACGTGCCGTCGTATGGTATATCATGCCACCGTCGTATGGTAAATCTCCTCGCTCAACAGTCTAAAATCTTAGCCACCGCATATCAAACCTTGCATCAATGCCGATTCCAAGTATAAGGAGTCCACACACATCTTCACCAACAATACATATGTGAGAGCAGGCCACACCGGAGCAGAGACAGAGCTCGAGGAACTGCCATCCCCAAGGTCTTGGCGACAATGACTGCATCCCTTACATAACCGATACAAACCCTAAGTATCGATGTCTAATCAGTAGCCAAGGGTTCTGACAAGAAACCAAAACCACCGACTCATCATTGAGGTCCACACACCATGAGACCTTTCCGGCTCACCGAGGAGAGAAGAAGAGTAGCCCAAGATAGTAAAGGTAAGATGGTTTCCAAAAACAAAATCCATATAAAATATGGTGTAAATACCGGTAACATATCTACGGAATCGGAAATTAGTAGCAAGTTGAGTTAAAATAGGCGGTGATTGTTATATTGTTAATAACCGGTTATATAGCTATGAAACCAGTAATGAAAATCATGTGTGCAATTCGATATGTTTGAGTATAAGTATGGGTCAATTTAAAACCAAACTAATTAAAACTGGTTAAATAGCGTTGCAAAATTATTCAACTAATAATTTGATGCATTTCAAACCGGATATAGCATTGAGAAAATCCGGTTTTCTTATTTTTCCAGAATCTTAGAATTGTTGATGAGACTTAATTTTGATTAGAATTGAAAATTATTGGCAACTTATTAAACCTGTAAAATTTTCAAAATTTGAAAGGAAAAAAAAAGTGTAAAACAAAGTTATAATCTCTTGAAATAATGAAAGTAAACAGCCATGTCTTCACTGACAATATTTTGACTTGATATGTTCTCTTATCTGACATTCCTACTGCTACACATTTCTCCTCTACATAGGCATAGGCAAGTGGAAAGTCTTTTGGGGTATTCATGACAATTCATATCACCAGCATAACCGATTACAGTGGCGAACCCAGAAACAAAAATATGTGGGGTCAAAAAAGCTTCAAGGTGCAGTTGTAGAGCCTCGAACCCCACTTTTGTGGGTTCATCCCTAAACTATCTAACCACTACACCACAGAGTATCGTGAAATATAGGCTACAAATTAAATTTTTGTTGTTATTTGTGGTGTCAACTGACACCATAAGTCAAAGAGTGGGNCCCAGAAACAAAAATATGTGGGGTCAAAAAAGCTTCAAGGTGCAGTTGTAGAGCCTCGAACCCCACTTTTGTGGGTTCATCCCTAAACTATCTAACCACTACACCACAGAGTATCGTGAAATATAGGCTACAAATTAAATTTTTGTTGTTATTTGTGGTGTCAACTGACACCATAAGTCAAAGAGTGGGTCCGCCACTGACCGATTAGCTAAATAAAAGGAGCTCGTATCATGTTAGCTGATAAATTTTTCTTTTATAGTTATAGAGCATAATAACTCTTTTTTTTTTCTGTCACCATTTTCTTTAATAATATAATAAATTTGTATCAAAATCAAAGAATACAAACTAAACAGTTTATTTAAATTTATGTACTATTAGAACATATATCAAAAATCTGAATCAATTTTCAAAAATTATCATTAGATGTATATGGAGTTTTATCGGGTCAGCAATTTCAGATTGCATGTTAATGACCGTGGTTTAACTAAACTGAATTATATACTGATAACAACAATTTATCAATTTAACCGCAAATCATGATCAAATGCAAAACGTTTGTAAAAAGATTAACACCCCTTTAAATCTATATTATTAAATTAACTCAAAATCTGCTAAGTAAAAAGTCTCATCCGTTCTACAAATGAAATTCTTATAAAATACACATAATATAAATATGACTTTGTAATATAACAGTGTACATACAAAATTTTAGATTAGATTATATAACTTAATAATGTACATCAAAACCAAAACAGTAATTTGTAGTCTTTTCGTTTCAAATTAGTTATCGTTATAGACTAAAGATTATTGTTTTAAAATAAGTGTAGTTTTATAATTTCAACGAAAAATTTATTCATTTTATTTACTATTATATTTTTCTATTGCTTGAAATATGGTTAAGTATATAGGTATTATGTTTTTTTAATATATAAAATTAAATATTTTTTCCTTTTGTGTGTAAAAATCTAAAAATGATAATTAAATTGAAAGAGAGAGTAACAAATATTATTATTAAGTGAAAAAAATTACGTTTTCGAAGCGCATAGTAAAATGTAGTCTATATTTATTTGTGAAAAATAACAAAAGAAAAAACAGAATATTTAGTAGAACTTTGAGGTTAGATTTATAAATAAATAAATAAATAAAATCAGGGATGAGATATTTGCCGATAAATAGCAAACACTCACAATTTTTATCTCCACTCTCTCAAACCCTATCTATCTCTTCACACCACACCATGGCAGCTTCAGCTTCGTCTCTCGCTCTCTCCACCTTCAACCCTAAACCCTTTCCTTTCTCCATCTCCAGACCCGCCTCCACTCCCTTTCTCCCTCCTTCCCTCTCCTTCAAACTCAATTCCCAATCCATTTCCCTCTCCATCTCCGCAGCTTCTCGCTTCGTCCGCAACGTAGCGGTAACAGATGACTTCAACGTAGAAGAAGAAGAAGAAGAAGAAGACAACCTTTTCTCCGATGACGCTGCGCCGCCTCCTCAGCAGGAGCAATCCTTCTCTGCTGACCTCAAACTCTTCGTCGGTAACCTTCCTTTTAACGTCGACAGTGCTCAGCTCGCTCAGCTCTTCGAGGCCGCCGGTAACGTTGAGATGGTTGAGGTACGAAAGAATATTTCTTTATTCTTTTGAAGCTGTTTATATTATGTCACATTGAGATTCCGACAAGAGACAAAAGATATGTTCTTTTTTGTTGTTGTTGAGTTGAGAGTAGTTCCTTTGTCTCTTTAGGTAGACAAATACAATGGTTTATGTTATGTTACGATGGGATTCCGACAAGAGACAAAGATATGTTCTTTTTGTTGAGTTGAGTTTAGTTCATTTGTGTTTTGTAGGTAATCTATGACAAAGTGACGGGAAGAAGCAGAGGTTTCGGGTTCGTGACTATGTCTTCTGTCTCTGAAGCTGAGGCAGCTGCTCAGCAGTTCAATGGCTATGTAAGAAGATATATATCTCTCTCTGACCTTACTCTAATCTTGTATCGTGTTGGGTATGCATTTGTGTTATTGTGGAGTTCTTAATGTGTTTATGCTGATAAAGGTTTTGTTAGATGAGTGAAAAGATTCAAACTTTTTTGGTGGATTTAGCTTTTTTACACAAAAGGTCGAAACCTTTGTGTTGATTAGCTTTTTAAGACAAAAAGTCGGAACCTTTGTGTTGTTGTTTGTTCTTATTGCATAAGCTTCTTCTGGTTGCAGGAGTTGGATGGTAGAGCCCTGAGAGTTAATGCGGGTCCTCCTCCACCGAAGAGGGAAGACTCCTTCTCCAGAGGACCTAGAAGCAGCTTTGGAAGCTCTGGTTCTGGATATGGTGGAGGTGGTGGTGGTGCTGGTTCAGGGAACCGTGTTTATGTTGGTAATCTCTCTTGGGGAGTCGATGACATGGCTCTCGAGAGTTTGTTCGCGGAGCAAGGAAATGTTGTTGAAGCTAGAGTCATTTACGACAGGGACAGTGGTCGATCCAAGGGTTTTGGTTTTGTGTCGTATAACTCTGCTCAAGAAGTCCAAAATGCTATCAGGAACTTAAATGGTGCTGTAAGTATCTGTTACTATCTTTACTCATACTGATATACACTTACAGTGACATCATGCAAAACATGTATTGATATATTTTTATTCTGTCCTATGTAGGATTTGGATGGTAGACAAATAAGAGTGTCTGAAGCTGAGGCTAGGCCTCCAAGGCGCCAATTTTGAGCACCACCATCCTTATTCTCATAAACGCGTTTTCTGGAGGGTAATGACTTAACCATTATACTTATACATTGCCCTTTTTTTTGCATTAACGACTTCATGACTGATCTGAGTAATTGAAATGTAACAGGCGATTCGAAGCAAATAGAGTTTTGTGAGAGGATGGCAGCTTCGGACTTTGCCTATGTTTGTTGTGCCTTGGATGCACGAATGGGTCTTCTTTTAGAAACATATAATTAACTAAGATTTATAAGTGAAGACCATGTTCTTGCCTGTCTGAATGCTGCGATTTACTTCTTTGCTTTTGGTTTGATTCTCTCTGTTTTGTGGTCTCTTCAGAATGAATGCTTCTTTATTTAAGAGTTATTCTTGGTACTGTGTTATTTTATATTTAATATTTTTTAAAAAAAGAAACAAAATATGAACAGTGAACATATTTGAAAACCGCTGAAAAGCACTAAAAAACATGCAATCTAACCGGAGCAATAAAAACTAATTGGGTGGAAAATTGGTTCATTCTTTGCTGTTAGACGTTACGGTCAAGTTGATCACCAGTACTAATCACCAGATTCATTACCTAGCGGGCCCAGCTTGATACTCTTGTGATGGGGTTCTAACAAAGCCCAAATGTTGAATGTTATGGACCTTTGAATAGTTTCTACGACTTAAAAGAAAACACAAGAGTATAAATTTTGATAACTGTTAGAAACTTTGGACTTTGTATCAATCTTTATGGAGATTCATACCATAGGTGAACCGAAGTGTTCATTTCTCGCTATAGCCTATATATATGTCATCGTCGAGTCAGGTAGAAATATATAAGTTCTATACAGTTTTACATATATTTTACAACAAAACTAATCAAATTATATATGATTTGGTAATGTTCTACTGAGTTCGGTATACCCTTGTATATACTACACCCTAAATAGTATGATGGATATCTATCTAGATAGAGTACAAAGTTTATTTTATGTATATACACGCATGCATACATGTAATAATTTAGTTTTGCAGTTGTTTATATATGATGATGAAGGGCATCACTTGCTTCCACTGGTAGTTGACGTAGTTCGCTTGGTAATAATTCTACCCACGAAACCTTAGTGTCTTCCTAAATGTTGTTCCATACTACGTAGTACGTACAATTTCTCACAACAAACACACATGTTTGTTTTATATAATGGATTGAAAATGTTATGGAAATTTTAAGTGCTAACAAAAATGTTGTGGAAAACGTTAGGACTGTGAATCAGGGAAATATGGTGCTGGAAAAATCATTCGGGGAGTTATATATAATCGCTACAATATTTATTTATTTATTTTATTTTGTTTTATTTTCAATAGTTTTATTATTCATCATTTCTCTATGTGATATCTTTTGTATCATGTCTATACGGATGAAACTATCGGTTTAAGCTAGAAAAGAGATCGTATTCGTGCGTCTTCATAAATTAGAAGACAATACAAGATGAGAATTACTAGAACCCGCAATGAACAAGCGAAGCTGCTCATGGTCACTTGTTCACAATCCAAGACGACATCATGGGTGAATCGACCATTTTATCGTATTTGTAATACTTTTAAAACTCCAGTTGTTCTGACAGCCTAGTATCTTGATGATGTTCATAAGATGTAGACACAGCTCTAGTACTCGTCGGACACAGTCTCTCTACCACTTGAAGAAATAAAAAAAAAAAGGATGTTGCGAATGGAGAAAATAGGGGTAATAATAAAAATGTAAAATTTTCTTTAAAGAAATCATGAAATGAAGCATTTTGTTTAAAAAAACAGAAAAAAGTAATTACGATGGTACATGCAGACACTGAGCCACATGAGTTATGGGACCATAGCTTTGTGTTTGGTCAGCGGACGTAGTAGACCCACTCTGACTTATGAACCTCAAACATTGGACATGTACATGTTCTTTTCTTTTTGAACATGTTCCTTCGCTAAAATCCTATTAAATCCATTAACCCCTTGGTCTTAAGGACCAAATTTTAACTATATATATCAAACTAATGTCGATGCTATACTTTTCGACATGTCTTATCAATTAATTTCGTGTCTAAAAAGAAATATAAAATCTAATTACTATTTCAGAAAGAATATTTGACATGCAATATTTTCTTAGTTAGAAAAATATATACAGTCATGTTCATCTATGATAATATTCATCGGATATTTCTTACTACATCTCGTAAATTTATGTATGGTCGCTAATGTTTTGACCAGTTGAAAATTTATATTTACATCAGTCCATTTATTAATCAAACCCAAATCTCTTCAAAACCACACGGATTAATTGATGGTTAGGAATTTGTGGAAACACAATCGCAAACATGACACCAAAAAGATAATTGTAACCTTATCACGAAAAAGTTTGACTGCGTGAATTTCTTAAAAATAAATAAAATAGTCGTTTTTATATTTTTCAACTACGGCTGAACAAAATATTCATAAATTTTCGATTCGTTATCCTTTTAATTTGAAAAAAAAAAGAATTCAGATATCCATAATTCTATGCAAGTAAAACAAATAATATGCAATATGAGTTAAAAAGGATAATTTGAAAAATACTCTATTAGTAGTTTGAAATTTGAAAATTACACCTTAATTTTTATTTTTTGAAAACTATATTTTGTTAAATATGAAAAGACATTCTTATCCAGATTAAAGATTTCAATAATTACAATAAAATTCCAGATTATTAATGATAATAATATTTTAATTCTTTTTTCAGTAATGTTTCTATTCCTTTTCTGAATTTTTATTAACATTCTATCTTCTTGGCTTGACCTCGTCTCTTAACACGGCCAGCCTCTCTTTTTCTGTTTTGTTCTCTGTTTTACACTCTTGTTCTCTCTGTTTTTGTAATCGTTTTTCAACTTAACACAAGCATAAATTTCTCTCTTTACTCTTACTTTTGTATTATAGTAGAGAAAAGAGAACACTTTGATGTCTACATTTTTACTTCTCTTCAACTCTTTTTCTTAATAGAATTGGATACATTTTTCTTACGACAACACAGCACGTACTTATAGTAGTTTTATCTACTAACTCCACTCACTTGCATCCATCCTTTAACCCATTATTCTAGGTCCTAGACTCTCTTAGACTAGTCACAGTACTCATAATTAGACTATTCTTACAAGTAAGATTAACCAGCTAACCTTTCACATTCAACAACGCTTACTAACTCTTCCATTAACTTCAAACACATCACTTAGTTTGTTTAAACAAACTAATACTCTTATTATTCTTTTTCTGTAACTTCTTGTTACACAACCCAACTCACTTTGACTTCTTGTTTTTGTGGCGTTGCTTCTTCTTGTTCCTCCGTTTCTTGCACGCCAAGCTTTTTTCTTTTTCTTTGTAGCATGCTATTTGCTACTCTTCTTTGTTGTTCTTCTTCATTCTTCTTTTATAGTATTTGATCAAAGGTTTAATCTCAAAAATTATATTTCAAAGGCATTGTTGCATCTTAGCTCTCTGTCACGTTCCTAATAATGTTTGTCATGAGACATTAGAGTTTGTGCATTTCAAAAACAAAACAAAAATCACATGATTCTTGCTTCTTTCTCTGTTGAATGATATTTTGTTGGTCTATGATAATGAGCTTCGAACATTATCAGGTATCAATACAAATGTAGCTAGAAAATATTAATCTGCAAATGTATAATAAACTCCACTCTCAACTTCTTGCAAGTTTTTTTAAAGTGTTCTTATTTGGAGTATCTGATTTTTACCGGTGTGCTTTATACAGTGGTGAAAAAAACGATAGTTTGGTGAAAAGTGAAGTAGAACCATGAAAGTGTTTAAGATATTTTTCGTATAATTTATTTTCATATCTATTGGTGTATTTAAAAGTTAGAATTTCTATTTTGTGTATGCTCTTTATAGAAAGGGCCATTTAATAAAACTTCATAGATTGTTGGAGAACAAAATTTTGCGAAGAAGAAGATGAAACGACGTTAGCTTGTTCTCAAATAATTATTTAGATATATTTAAAAATATATTGTGTAGATATTATAGTGATTTTTGTTTGAAAAAAATCTTATTTTTGTTGAAACTATTAATTAAAATATTAGATAAATTATAAAATAAAATATTAATAATAGTATTAAGTTTTCAGATTGGATATTTTAGTAAATTCATATATATATAAGTAGAGATGTCAAATTTGGGTCCGTACCGCGGGAAAGGCCCGGTAAGACTTGTGGCGGGGCGGGTTTGGGAGCCCGCAAAAAAAGCGGGATGGGCTTTTGCTGGTTCGGGCTCAATGGCGGGATGACCCATTTGACCCGCTGTTAACCTAATGTCCCGCACACCATTCTTCATTACTCTGCCACCTGCAAACAAAACAAAGGAGAGTGAGAGAGAGCAACATATCAGTCTCAACCGATGAATGGATCTCCGACGATTTCAGGAGCTCCGGTGACGACGGCCTGTTACACGTCAAGGACTCTGCCAGGTTTTGGAGGGTCATCTTCTTCTCTTGAAAGCTGTGACAAGATTGTTGATCTTGAAAGACTTTCCACTGTAGAAGATGATCCTCCATCATCGGCCGAGAATGATCTTGAGCAACGGATCTTGAGTCTCCCTCCTTCTCTCCATGCATGTCACCGAGGTAGTGAAAGACTTTGTGGTAAATGTCGATTCTTGTAATCTTGTTCTGAATCTTTTCTAACTAATTGTTCTCCAAATTTCAGGTACCTTCAACTTGTTCCACCTGCGAGGAGTCCTCCTGCTTCGTTTTTATTCCGGCGACGTCTGATGAAGGTGAGTTGGTGACCTCCTCCTCAAGCAGTTAAGAAAAATATTATATAATTTTAATAATTTTCTAATTAATTCTTAATTATATATTATATAATTTTAATAAATTATAATTAATTATTAATTATAGATTATATAGTTATATAATTTTAATAAATTTAATTATGTTTAATGATATGTTAATTTGGCTTGCTTTTTTTGTGCTTTGTCTTGAGATGATGGATTGATGGTGAACAAGGAGGCAAACCGAACTAGTTCAAACAACGCAAGCTCCATTACTAAGGTTAGTAACTTACTCTCTGGATCGTAGATTAGGGTTTTAATTTGGTTGCTTTGCGTAGGTTATCAGATCACTGTCTTGTTTAGCTTCCTTGAGTATATTATAGTGATTTTAAAGAATCTGAATAGTAGATGCTTCATGTTTATTAATTATGTGAACTTGGTTGTATAAGGAAGCAGCTTGCAGCATCAGGAAATATTCTGGAGTGACCTGTAGAGTCAAGCATGGTTGGATACAGTATTTGACGCATGTCCCGTGGGACAGCCCGCAAATGAGTATGCATTTGAAGGTACGGGTTGGGGACAACCTT